GCACAGCTGGTAAGGCTCATGTTGTCTCAAAGCAGTATGTTGGTTAACACCGTCCCAGGCACTATGACCGGACTGGGTACCTATTTCAAGCAAGCCAAGCCTTCTGTGTATAGAATTGCGTAAGTCCACTACCCTGAGCGGACAAGCATGAGAACTAATGTTTATAGCGTATGCACCAACGCTGGAGAGCGTGTCCCTGGCCCTCGAGAATACTCGTTAATGACTGAGGTTGAGTTCCCGTACCTCACATCTCACGATGCTCTTGAGGAGGTTGGCGCGCCAGACTCATACTCCCTTTCATTGGACCTTACCCGACAGGGTATTGTCTGTGGCCCCTCATCGGGCTTCACTTTGAAGGGATTGTTCCAACGTATTGAGAAGCACAAGCAGGAGAACACACTTTCAAATCTCGCTGGCCCTGATGGCGAGATTCACTGTGTGTTTATGTGTTGCGATCTTCCCTTCCAATACTTGAATGAGTATTTCCAGAACTTGGGCCCTGAGAAATTCAGCCCTCTTCGCAATGAGGTACGTCAGATTATTTCAGTCTGGGGAGGATTAAGCTAACAGACTCAGCGTTTGAGGAACGTTGATCTTTACCGATACGACGATGCCTGGGAGCTCGACTCTTTGACTGCTTTATCTAACTACTTCACCATTCACCCTCTGGGTACTCATGACACCGTTTTGTCACTCGCAGATCAAATCGACAAGGCTTTGACACCTTCGGCCAATACTCAGATTCTCGATTTCCGATGCTCCTCGGACTATGATGCTTTCCATCTCCCCAACTCAGTCAACATGCCCCTCGATGCGCTTCGAAATGGACCTTCTAGTGGTAGTCCTTTCGCCGATCCTGCCGATGACTGCGCCATGCTCGAGGAGCTCTGGCTAGAGCTTGAGAGCCTCTTCAACATCAAGGACAAGGCTGGCAACCGAAATGCTAGCGCCGAGGCTCTCATGTCTATTCTTCGAGGAAAGAGGGTATTGACACTGTGCTACGATGGTGACAGCGCTCGTGTTGCCAACAGTGTCCTTCGTGCCAAGGGCGTTGAGGCAGAGTGCATCCGTGGTGGCTACAGCGCTCTTGCCAAGTTGCAGATGCCATGTAATGACACCTGCGAGGTTGTGTCTGTTCCCGTTTCTGTTGAGGTCTGAGCCGGAGTATCTTCAACCTGCTTGCTAGTATTTGGGTTCATCATTCCTTTCACACATGAGATCCGGCCGGACGTGCAGTGGGCGTCCGGGGCCGGCCGATGTCAGCAAGACATCGGAGTTGAGTTATACAGGAGTTGTTCTTTCTTTTTGCCTGATTACGATTTATGACCGAGATATAAAAGAGTATAGTCGCTGGTTAGTGCAAGCTTCAACGCCACAACGCCATGCGAATGGACAGGTCAAAACCAGAAGTGCAGTGGGTTTCTGGGTTTTGCGATGGATTTTCTTGAATACGAAATATACGAAATTGCAGAGACCCATGGCTGTACTACCTTTGACCCTGTGAACAAGAGCCCTCCGTAGCAATGTTTTCGGTGACGTTAACGATGCCGACAGTAATCTTCTGAGCAAGGAGTGACAGTATATGGGCCCTATCGTATCAATATGACCGAGCTTGATAGATCAACCATCCTTCTACCAAAATTCCAGAAGGATTATGGAATAATTATAGAATAGAGGGGTCGATTCCGCGGAGGTTGCTGGTGTTCCGCGAAACGTGTGGCGATAACGATTTACGCATTCCTCACTGGCATAATCATCGCTGGAATAGGTAATTCAAGCTTCGGCGCACCAACGTCTAGGCTTATACCGTCAGTGAGGGTGTCAAAGATAGTGTGCTTTGGAAGGAATGTAGATGGAAGTAAGAGTGCTTGTCTCAGACATAACAAATAACCTACAGACGGACGAACGGGAGATTGAGTCAAACTGAACTCTTACATAGAGGAAGGCCTCTGGAAAGGTAGTCTGACATGTGTCAAAATACGCAATGTATTGTATCTTAGAGCCACTTTATTCGGTTGAGATGAAGACCAGTGGATCATCACGAATCTACGACAGTCCCAACACCGGCAATGCTTCACTTTGACACGTCAGAGGCAACGGAAGAACAACTTCCATTATTTAGCCCCTAACATTTCGAACAGTTAAAGTTCCCGTTCCTGCATCCATTTCCTAAGCCACAGTCCATAAACTCCAGTAGTACAAGTTACAAAGTCTCGACTTGGCGATAGCAGACCATCGAAGATGCAAGGAATGAGGGACGGGTGAGCCGGTCTCCTAGCGCAAAACACCAAACCAGTAACTAAACGCCAGGCACAGGTCATATGATCTGCAGTGACAGCACGTCTTGTCTTTAACGCCGCTGGATACATCCTTACTGGTAAGCTTATAAGGGATGAGGGCTATTGGGCTTATGTGAAACGCCTCTGTCAGGGTGTATTTGAGTCAGTTGAGGGGTTTTCCCAAAGGAGAAGAGGCAGGCAGAAGAGAATAAAGATGGATAATGGCTGATTGAGGATTGTTATCGCAATGGCCAACTTACGTTCCAGAATAGAACGGTTTACCGATATTTCGGAAAGATGGATATTGGCAAGTCCATCAAAAAGCTTGATAGTCTCCTAAAACACATTCTCTTGAACCGCATTATTCCCCTTTCAGTTCTCAAATCGCCTCCACACCAAAAGCGTCAATAGTTCACTTCCGCATTCGACCATGCGGCGTCAACCTCGATATCCACACTGAATAGTTCTCCATTGGCCTCTTTTCTATGCCCGACGAATATTCTTCTCTTTGAAGGCTAAGAGCTGGAAGAACTCAGGAGTACTGACGCCGAAACAAAGGCATTGAATACAGCGTTTAACGGTTCATGCTGAACAATTTGCATTATCGTCATAGAAGCGACGAGATGGTGGAGGCTGTTTCAATACCCTTGCTTCCAGATCGTCGGGATGAGGCGTCACACCTGTCTCAGAAGTTTCAGGGTCCAAGCGAACCAACAAACCAACAGCGCCTGACATTTCTGTATCCGAAACAATCAGCAGCCCTGCCTCGAATCATACCACCAATAGAACTGCTGCACGTAACGCAGAATCATCTGTTTAACACACATCATGATTAGAAACAATATAGACACTTCAAAGCGCCTAATAAAACCCTTAACGTCCGTCACCCAAAGACTGGCCACCCCCACAGACCGGCCACCCCGACCAAAACACCAAGAACCGGATATCATGATCAATTAACTAATTATCTCAACACCACATTTTTTATATTAAATAAAAATTTAGTCAGTGAATATTTAGATGAAACTGAGTACAAAGGTCCTCAAGTTTTAATTTCTTAACCCTATTTGCCGTTCTTTCTGGCTGCAAAGTCCTCCACATCTGTTCACGAGCCTTCTTGATCGCTGGAATCTTTGCGAACTCAGCATTTGGGTTATAGATAACTTTTTTACGCCTTTTTGGTCGATTTTCTTCATTTTCCCGCTGTAGAACACTTATTTGTCTATTTTGCTGCTCAATATTGAAGTTATGACGGTCCAATTGACTGCCAATCTTCCTGAACAGCAGCCTGATAGTCGGATCTTGAGTTGCAGAAGCTGGGACTAGGTCTAGAGCTCGCCGAAGCTGTACAGACGACTGGGGAGTCTTCAGGAGACTGGAATGCTGCTCTTTAGCCGGCAAATTCGCTGTGACAGCGGGAGAAGGTGTCTCTGTGACCATCGGGTTCATCAGGACCTTCGCCAGATTGACAGGCCACAGTCCAGTGGCTTTGAAGCCGGCAATCGCGTTGGACTTCGTGATAGCTTCTCTCCGAGCCTTGTCGTAAGTGTATAGAAATGTAATCTTGCCGACGTGACTGTCATCAGCGACAGAAACAAGATCTAAAAGAAGTCGACGATATGCCCTCTTTAGGGGACCAAAAACAGCAACATCTAGTGGCTGAAGGACATGGGAAGCGTGAGCAGGAAGAAATAACAGATATATATTGTTATCATAGCATTCCCAAAGGAACTCTTCTGTAACATGACTTCCGTGGCCGTCAAGAATAAGAAGACGGGGTTCTTTTGGATTCTCGGGCTGCGTCGATGGAATAAAGACTTTTCTCAACCAAACCAATGCCAATTTATTACTCGTCCAGCCCTTATCACTACAGGCGAATTCCCAGTCATCTAGGAAGTCTAAATCCTCAGGGAAATGTTGTTGTTGGACTGTTTTCCCCTTGAAAATGACTGTAGGTCTCAGGACTTTCCCGGTTGCTGAGATACACTCGAGAATTGTAATCCAGGCACGAGAACCAGGCTGACGAATAAGTACTGACTTCTTCGACTGATGACCAAGGAATAGACCGTTCATTCCTATTCCTTCCATCATTCCAACTTCGTCGACGTTGTATCTGTTCCCCTGCTTGACTAGGCGTATCGCCGGCATCATCAGGAGCATAAAGAATGCCTTTATCAGTTCAGAAGAAGCTCCCTGATATCGATCAGAGTCAATTTTCTTGCCTTTTAAAGTCCTGATATCAGGATTTCGTCCTAAAAAGCCCTGTAACCAGTTCTTTCCGACGCCTTCTGGGAAGCCGTTGCGGACGGCAATCTTGCTGGCGAACTCTCTGACTTGCTGATGTGATACAGGGCATCCTAAATCAGCCTGAATAATAATCCAGTCTCGCAGATGCTTTTCCTGAATATCAGAGAGCTTTTGGCGAGGTTTTTGGGCTTCTCTTGGTGTTGTACTTCCTTTGATCCGACCTTGGAGCGTTGAACGGTTGATGCCATTAGCTTCGGCTGCTTTATTCACTGACATACCCTCTGCAACCATCTGGAGAGCGGCGCTCATATCTTTTTCAGTAAAAGAAGGCATTCTGAATTGATTGGCGTTAGTTTGAAATTAATTGGAATTAAATTGGTAGAGTTGTGACTGTTTAAAGTATATATAAATTGGGTGGCTGGGTTAAAAGTGAGGTGGCCGGTCTGTGGGGGTGGCCAGTCTTTGGGTGACGGACGTTAACTCTAAACCAGGCATGAACAAACATCCCGCCCTAGAACAGGCCATGGCGTCGGTCGAAGCCGTATCACATCCCCCGTCCAAAGAGTCTAGCCTAAAGCTTATATCCTCTCAAACCAACCATTGAATTGGGGGGAGGTTACTTCGTAGAATATGGGAAAATGCAGGGGCCTTGTGGATATAAACTCGAGCCTTGCCCAACCCGTTCTCAAGAAGGAAGAAGAGAAGAGGGAGCGCGGTTGATAGTGTCTCACTTTGATACACATCACGTTTAACATTCTTTCATTTTTCCTTCTCTTTTTCAACTTGTATACCACATCACACTCCTTTTCTTCAACATCAATCAATCATCGCCATGATGAAGTCTCGACGAACTCAGCGATCCAAGTCTCTCCCTAGCAATCAATCGCCCAAGAGGTCATTCTTTTCCATCATTTCTCGCCGGCTTTCTCTTAGTTCCAGACGACACGCCAACTCTGTTCGCTTGTATGATGACAGTGAAGATGATGACACCATCCAAGTGATTCCTCAAGAGGTAATAAGCCCCCAGTTCTCCTTTCAATGCTCCTTTCTCACATATCTTTATAGGTTCCACCACCCACACAATCTCGTTTTTCTAGACGAGCCTCCCGCTTCTGGTCTACCTCAGCTGCCAACCAATTCGACGACCATGACTCTTCGCCTCAATCGCCCACATATCCCGCCTATGGGGGCGCTTATGTTCCCCGACACGCCGCAAGCGACTTCTCAAAGACAGCTTCCAACCGCCTCACCATGATGGCAGAGGCAGATGAGACAACCCTCTGCTCATACAACTTTCGCACCAACAGGACTACCAGAAGCTTCGGCACAGACGACGAGCTCGATGTGGACCATCGGGAACGAGCCCTCACTGCCCTGACTGCTAGACGTAGTATCGCCCTCTCGAGCGAATCAAGCAGTGAGAGCACCAACGACTATACTCTCTTCTTGGCCGACGCTGCAACTGGCTCAGATGCCCGACGCCGAAGGTCAGCTGCTGCATGGGCTGAGCTCGAGCACAGAGCAACGGCTGCGAGTCGAAGGACCAGCGGCACGGATTTCCCTATGGGTCGACCGGGGCGCACGCAGAGTAGTTATCTGGGCTTGCCTGGCAGTGCATATGACTCTTCAAGGCCAGCAAGCTCAGTTGCTGTGAGCATCACCGAGTATATCAGACCAGCACAGACTGGCAGGGTTTGGTGATGGTTCTGTTCCCAGAGTACAAAAACCAAGTATGAGATGTGACATATGACTGGGTGGAAATCTTCATTAGGCGTTATTGGGCAGGCGTTATATGCAATATCAGAGTGTAAATCTGGCTAGGGTTATCCAGGTGAAACCCAAATGGCTTCTGACCACGAGCGCGACTGCGCACACATACGACCAGAATAAACCACGTTCTCTTTTGATCAGTCAGTTCGCGACTCAGCCCAGTTCAAGCGGCCAAATATCGGTATACGTTGTGCATGTATCCACGACCTGGGGAAAGTCTTCAGTGGAGCGAGTCGGACCACGGATGCAATGTGGTATTGATAGATGCCACAGCCCTATATATATGAAACAAATTGCCTCGAACGCCAATTTTCTCATGGCGATATTCGCGATATCGCGGGACACATGATTCGTCTCGTGCCTTCATGCAAGAAGCTCTGCTATCCCATTATACCCAAATGAATAGTCAACCATGGTCAGATGCACCACACCGTAGTTAAACAGGCTGGTCTGTAGACAAACACGGACCAATATAAATTCCAAGGCCACAAGTGCCCACCCGCTCCGTAACTCCTCTCATGCCATTCTGCACCGACAGTGACCAGCTCTCGACACCCTCGTAACTTGGCTCTCACGAGGGTATAATATGACAAGTCGCGAGGTCCAAGCGCGGCGTGAAGATACCTGAAAAACAGACCCCTAGGTGGTAAGGCAACCCGAACGAGTGGCGCCTATTATGGCCACACATATATATCATCCCCTTATGACTGCATGACTCCCGCGACAGCCCGTCTTGGAATCAAAATCTCCTCATCATCAGAGCTGTCGGCTGCCTCCACGCTCGCCTTGTCCAGCATCCTTTCTATATCCTCATCTCTCAGTGGTTTTCTTGTTTTCCCGCTCCCTAGCCCGATACCACTTGGCAACGAGAGCGTCCCTCTTAATTGACTTCGGCTACCAATGGTTCGCCTTCTGGGTGCTACCCTGTTCTGTGCAGCATGATGTTGCTGTGGTGAATCCAGGTCCATTGGCGATCCAGGTGGCGGGGCCATGGGTGATTTATCATAAGGAGCTTTTCGCGTTTGCTGAGGTTGCCGTTGGGATGTGGGAAGCGGTTTTCTCGGCCCTGAAGGCAACGCGTGTCGTGGAGGCGGAGGTCGAGCCATACCAACGTTGGGCCCTGGTGATCCCGTAGGAGAGAAAGCGTGCTTCAGATTGGCAGAGTTGCCTGGACTGCTCATGAACAGCAAAGTCTCAATAGCATCTTGTTCCCTAACATTTTGATGCGGTGACATGAGAACTGGGTCGCCCATGACGCGTGATTTGGGTCCATGCGGCACAGTTGAGGGTTGACCAGGCGTGTGAGGTGAAGCGGAATGAGAATGTGTCAACATATTCGGAGTTCGATTGGGGTGGGAGTTGCGGCGTGGGTTCGCATGGGAGTTAGGCACGAGAACTGAAGGCCGGATGGGTGCTGGAGGCGCAAGTGCAGGCTTGTTCCACGATGAACTTGGAGGTGTATTTGATTTTCGACGTTGGCTAGCAGAGCCGTATGGTTGTGGTAGAGGAGCTGACGAGGACGGTGGCTTGCTCATGGGTATTCGAGGGCTTGCTGAGGAACCCTGTCGGTTATGTATTGTCGACGTGCTTGAGACTGGAGAGGCGGCCTGGGACGCCATATTCTCGACTTCTTCAAGTGAGTTTGACTGCCAACCCTTGTTGACCTTGATCATGGCATATGACAGACGCGTCTTTAACTCGTTGGACAACTAGAATAAGCGTGTTAGTCGTGGCTTCACAAGCGATTGATCACGTCCTTGAACGGAGAGGCGGTCGGGAGATCGCATTCGACATACCTCTCCAATATGGCCACCTGCTGCCGATGTCCTGCTAACAGCGCTTGGGTTTCTTGAATGGCCCTTCACGGGACTTTGGCTATCTGTCCGGCTTTTAACCTCTCCATCGGCCATTCGCTTCCGTGAATTTGTGGAATCTGTTGCGATTCTGTGCTGAGCAGCAGCAATCTCTGACAGTTGTAACAACTGGCTGTCCTGACTTGATGGACCAGGTGCGCAGTTGCTGGCATCGCTGGCTGGGGGTGTGAATGCGGGATCTGTAGAAGTGGTCATGGTGGTCTCTTGCGAATCGGTGTTCGAGTGAGGATGGCTCTGTGTAGAGCCATCGTCGCGGTCGACAGAAGATTTGCGCTGCATTTTGGCGATAGCTGCAACAACGACGGCATGGGCGGTTGTAGTTCCAGCTGTTGAATCAACAGCAATATCGCTGGCAGGCGCAGCAGTTGGCGTTGGCGTAGGCGTTATTGATGCAATCGGGTTTGAGTGGGAGGCTCGCGAGAGCGCGTCGGCCGGGGGTGGTGGTACCGCGAAATCCCCACCTTGTCGCGCTCCCGTCACTGTCGCTGGTGCTGTCTCAGTGGGAGCGTCCAGTCGGGTATCTGTCGTCTTGAACGGGGGAGGAGGCGCAATGCGATTGTTATCCAGCGCAATTTCAACCAGAGGCTGATTTGGACTCATGACAGGAATAGGAAGCCTCCAGGTTTGGAGTTGTGAACGTTGTTAGGGCGAAGATCAAGTCGCTGAAAAGGGACCACAATTGGAGGGATTCCAGAACGTGTAAGCCTAGTAGATCCGCTGTACAAGTGAACCCTCACTTTGAGGTGCTGGAGAGTTCAGACCGACAACTGAAGTGGAGGGCGACGCACACGTTAGAGGGCCCCAGAGAGAAGGGTCTAGGGTCTAGACAGATGCTGAGACTGACCACGCGGCGGGAAATCCGGGCCACCAAGGGAGCTAGGGAATTATTGGGTTTTGACGATTTGATACGATATCCAATGTTGTCTTGTTTATTTACGATTATTCGACATGGAGCTGTAATTAGATGAACGTTGAAAGTGATGAAGTGAAAATTCAGCAAGAAGCCAAAAAAAAGATAGATAGAAGCTGCAGTAAGTCAACTGAATTAGGTTGCCATTTTACACCTGCCTGCACTGGTGGTTTATGGTTTGGCATGGTCTCAACGCGGTCTGATACGCGACTTGGCTTGAGTCGAGCGTAGAAAATACCTTAAAATGTGCGCCTGCGTGGGGACCCGACTAGCCAAGCCCAGACCCGAAATCTGCTACAGATACACTAAGCTTTAGTGGCTGCAGGGTTGTCCTCAGGCAACTTGCAGGGCGTTCATCCGCTGAAGTTACAGCACTGACTTTACCATCTCCTCAGTGACACAAGCCAGTCGGGTCGCGTGCGCGAATAATGTGATAACGGAAGAAATACGATGATAGGCACAGGAGCGTTTAGTCTAATGAGTACTTCAACGGTGCGATGGCAAAAACGAGAGGGCCATGATCTGAGGTGTCCATTAAAGACCTCATTCCCACTCATGCACCTCGAAAATACAAAAAGCCGCGTGGCGCTGCAAGGTTTTGGGAGGTCTTTTGAGAAATGATGGAATATGAGCTTGCGCAACACGCGTAGGCATCAGTAAAAACACTCACAACATGATTGTTGGAGTAGAACAGCACATGACACTGTAGCAGATCATTTTCGACATCATACCTCAGCTTGAATGCAGACGAACGAGTACGACAGCAATGACCTCACCCCTGTAACCCCAACTTCGCCTGTCCCCCTCATTCAATGGGACCCCATGACACGCTTGGGCCAGCCAGAGACGTTGATGACGCGAGATCACGTGGCAATAGTAGACCATCATGATTGTGTGTAGCAAACATTGACCACTGATAACGGCAGCTAGAGTACAGGCTGGGATATGACATTGACGGACGAGAGAATTCTTTGAAATGCCAGGTATTTACGTCTCTTACTTCAATTTTAATTCCTACCATAATTTGGTAGATGAGCCTTTGCGCTGTCTATCATGATATGGAAAATGTCTATCTTCCCCAGAAATGAGTTTCATCATGGCCGCCTGATCATCCACAAGCTGGCTCATCACTTCTATCATGCCCTTGAACGCCTCCATCCAAAATCACTTCCTCGTTGTTATTCAGATCATGCTGGACCCTCTGCCATCCCTTCTTCTTTCTCGATTCTCTTCCCTCAACCTCCGCACCCTTGCCCTTTGCATCAAACACAGGCTTGATCAGCGCTCCCAATAGAGGATTGCCGCTGAAGGCTCCGCCGCCTCTTCCACTGTTCTTGTTCGCTGATGTCTCTCCAAGTGCGCCATTGTCGATAGGGTCCTCATCGGACTCAGGAGTCACAGGTCTTTCGACTGCTGCCATCTTGCGAACAACCTTGCCGCCAACCACGTCAATGCTCACAACTTGCTTTCGCTTCTCGTAGTCCGGCCGCGCGTTCCACTCCATTTCTCGAAGCACTTTCTGTTGACGCTTCAATTCTCTTGCTCTCTCCTCAGGAGTTGCCCACATGCTGCCTGTCCCTGTAAGCGCTCCACCAACATCAAAGTCAGCAGCCTCATCGCGGACTGTCGTTCGCCTGGCATTTTGTGCTTGAAAATTGAGAAGCTTGTCGCGATGCGCACGAGCCTTGGCTTCAGCGTCGCTTAGTGAAGCGCCGTCGTTGCCGCGTGGTTGAGTAAACGGCGCTGGGGTCTTGGCAACGTCAGCACGGCGATTGGCGTCTCGGTTAGCTGCCATTCGCTCGCGGCCTCGCTCATCCTTGAGCTCACGGACCATGGCTTGGACATCATCTGGCGTCAAGAGAGGGCTGCCGCAGAATGTGCAAGGTCCGAGACCTTCCTTCATGCATATCACCTTGCCGCATGAGAGACAATTTGGCGCAGCGCCTTGAAGAGGGTGTCGTGTAGCGACACAATTGCACTTCCTAGACTTGGAATTCTCCAGTGTAGGATTTGTTGAGATTTCCAGCGCCCTGATAGCAGCGTCGAGATCAGAAATAGCAGTCGAAGCTCCAGCCATCGGCATGCCTCCAGCTATAGATATCTTTGTGCTTGTAGCTGGCTTTGGTGTAGAACTTCGTGATACAGGCGTAGATTTAGGTTTAGGTTTCGATGGTCCTTCCCCTATAAGATAACCAGCTGAGGCATGCTGCTTAGGTGGAGGCTTTGCGACAGGCTTAGGGTCTGGTTTCGGCGTGTTCGATCGCGAAGCATTGTTACTGCTGGGTGCGCTCGAACGCTGAGGGATGTAGTCAAGGCTCAGATCCTTCTTGCTGTAAGTTGTACCCGCAGGTGCAGCATAGTCGTTAACTTGTCTTGCCTGCGGTGTGTGAATATTTGCCTTCTTCTTTTTTGGTTGCCGTTTCGTCTTGGGTACGGCCTCGATATTCTGAGATTCGGGTTCAGGCGGTGCAGCGGCATTGGAGTACGACGAGCTCCCAGGCGCCGAAGTTTGCCGTCGGGCGTTAAACGACGATATAAACTCGATGGCCTGTGGAGAGTCTCCTAGAAGGTTTCCAAAATGCTCTGCAGCTTCTGTTGTGGAGAGAGTCGAGGCGTAATCTAGTACCTGCTTAAGCTCCTCGTCGGGAAGCGGTAACAGCTGCGACAGCTGTGCGATCGACATGGCTCGTTGTTCTCGTGAGAGAAGGGGTTCCTCAAAGCTTTCTGTATCTTCAATGTGGCTAAGTGACTGGCTTCTTTTCGCTGACAGTGAAGAGCGAAAGTTGTTAAAAACGGAATGTTGACGTCGTTGAAGAAGATAGCTTGAAGCTCCCCCACCAAACTTCTTAGCCCCTCCAAATGTTTAAGAGCGTTCTGTTTGCTGACTCACACGCCGACTTTTGCCCTTCAGTCCCTCCATATTGACGGATTTTCCATTGCATAACAAAGCAGCAGCGTTTGTCCCTTTAAGTTCTTCCTTTGATCCATCCTGTGCCTTGAGAAATAACTTTTCAGTCAACTTTGACTGGCTTTGGCAGTTGTTCACTTGGCTGAATCAGCTGAGAAATAATTTCACCATGAATGCAACAGGCTATTCGTGCTCGGTTCTTTTGTCGTGTGCACACGTGCAATTGTTTTGTGGCAGCTTTTCTTTCTTTCCGAGGTACCCGTAGAAATCTGATATATGAACCATCATGTGGTTCTGCAAGCGTACAGCCATTGATCCGCTTTATGCTGGATGTTCACCGCGCATGGGTCCATAAATCCAGCATTTCGGTGTAAGTTGAAGGAAGCTTCTTACAGTACCGGATGAATGGATAAGTGAATGATGTCGAAGCGAGCCAACCAGACAGCCAGGATGCTTAACTAATGCAGTCTCGGTTTGCCTGATTTACTGACATATTCCACCTAAGATCTAGTGATCAGAGGGCCTAGACGAAGTGGTTTTCAGCGCAACAACCTTGAGACTCCTATATTTCCTTAGAGCATATATAGCCGTCAGATATTCTAAACGTCGAGAGATTTACTATATGATCATAACAGGTATTTCATCATGTAAGACGTTCTTGTCCGGTCTTCCGTGTCTTCTCAAAAATCGAAATTCCGAGCCTCCTCCGCTCCGGCCCCTCAGCTCGATACGCTAAACCTGAAGGGGCATAATATGCCTTGAATTGCGTCGCACTGGAGCTTCCCCATCCTCCTTCCTCCGGGTCTCCCTCCCCGTATTTAAAGTGCTCATCGCCAACCTCTTCTTCTTTCCACCCGCATCCCGTCCTTTTTTACCCTTTTCTCCAATTGAAGAGTTAATCAATCGCAAAAATGTTCGCCGCTTCTCGTATCCAGCGCCGTGCTTTCTCGGCCACCGCCCGTGACGTAAGTTAATGCCCTCACTCATGAGCGCACCGATTTGTGCCTTTTGTGTTTTTTTTTTCCTCTTCACCGACCGACACCGGCCCGGCTGTTGAGAAGCCATCATGAGATCAGATTTGGGCTTCAGAGCAGCTGAAACCGTTCCAATGCTTCCAACAAGTACTGACATGCCTTCTACAGCTCTCCAAGGTCACCGTTCTCGGTGCTGCCGGTGGCATTGGCCAGCCTCTCTCTCTTCTCCTCAAGATGAACCCCCGCGTCACTGACCTCGCTCTCTACGATATCCGTGGCGGACCCGGTACGTAACGACATCAGCAGATTCTCTCGGTCGAGGTTAAAAACAATTGCGAATTGGCACAAACGAGAATCGAGCAACGGTCATGTTGACCACGTTCGCTCTAGCTCAATTCGCCTTGTTGCCACCTCGCCAGATCTGGACCGCCAGCTAACAAGTCAAATGCAGGTGTTGCTGCTGATATTTCCCACGTCAACACCAAGTCCACCGTCAAGGGTTACGAGCCCAACGCTGCCGGCCTCAAGGATGCTCTCTCCGGTGCCGAGGTTGTCCTCATCCCCGCTGGTGTTCCCCGCAAGCCCGGTATGACCCGTGACGATCTCTTCAACACCAACGCCTCCATCGTCCGCGACCTCGCCAAGGCCGCTGCTCAGGCTGCTCCCAAGGCCAAGCTCCTGATCATCTCCAACCCCGTCAACTCTACTGTCCCCATCGTCAAGGAGGTTTTCAAGGCTGAGGGTGTCTACAACCCCAAGACCCTCTTCGGTGTCACCACCCTCGATGTTGTCCGTGCCTCCCGATTCGTTTCCGAGATCAAGGGCACCGACCCCAAGGACGAGAACATCACTGTTGTCGGTGGCCACTCCGGTGTCACCATCGTCCCTCTCTTCTCCCAGTCCAACCATCCCGACCTCTCTTCCAACGCTGAGCTCGTCAAGCGTGTCCAGTTCGGTGGTGATGAGGTTGTCAAGGCCAAGGACGGTGCTGGCTCTGCCACCCTTTCCATGGCCATGGCTGGTGCCCGCATGGCTGACTCCATCCTCCGCGCTGTCCAGGGCGAGAAGGGTGTCATTGAGCCCTCTTTCGTCGAGTCTCCTCTCTACAAGGACCAGGGCATCGAGTTCTTCAGCTCCAAGGTTGAGCTCGGCCCTGAGGGTGTTGAGAAGATCCACCCTCTCGGCAAGCTCGATGCCAACGAGGAGAAGCTCGTTGAGGCTGCTCTCGTCGACCTCAAGAAGAACATCGAGAAGGGCGTTGCCTTCGTTGCCTCCAACCCTCCCAAATAAATGATCTCTGGGCTCACTTCGAGCTTTTAGAGAACGACCTAGCTTAATAGAACTGGGTATTGTGGCGAAAAGGGGAAAAAAGGATAAAGGTAAACTCTCAGTACGGATGTCTTTCGTGTGAGGATCGGGAATAAGAGCCGGGGTGTATGAGCGATTGATATACCATGCTTTTCTTCCTATTGTTCTACCACCTCTATAGACTTGGAATTCCGGTCTGTGTCTGTACTATAGCAATGAATGAAAAAATACCCCAAGATATTGTGTGCTTAGTGACTGGATTTGACTAGCAAGCGAATGTTGGTACTACAATCAGGAGTGGTCAGTTCTGGACTTAGTGACATTAACAAGTGGTCACTTCGAGCCTTAAGTGCAACTAAAACAATTGGTTGTGTTCATGATCAAGTCTACCCATCGATAGTATACACCTCTAAATTAGCAGGCTCTTAGCTTCTCCAGCCTACCCATCCGTAATAATTTCCTCCTGTCTATGATAGTATGCTTACTCTAAAGCCTCCCATGAGATCTAAACCAAAATCTCAACCATCTCATTATGATTGAGTAAGACTATTAAGTCCTTCCAGCTCGCCACTCCTCAATCTTTCTCCGTCGCTCCTCGACCTTACGCTCAAACTCGGCAACCTTCTCGAGTCTCTTCTTCTCCTCCTCCTCGTCCTTCTTCTTCTGCGCGGCGGCGCGGCGAACAGCCTCCCTCTCCAGCTGCTCGGGTCGTCGCTCGGCAATATCGCGAGGTCGGTAATCGCTGAAGAACTTCTTCAAGCTGACCTCGATAATCCAGCAAGCAGCGTAGTCGATGACCATGACGGCGGTCATGTTGGTCTTGAACTCGTCCGAGAAAGGAACAAGCTTCATACCCTCGTTGATGTCGGGGAAGAGCTCGAGAGCACAGGCAAAAGCAAGTCCGGAGACACCGACGATACCGTAGAACATACCCTTGTTCTCAGAGAGAGATTCACGGAAGGGACGACCCTGATAGTTGATGGCGAAGGTGGAGATTTGCTGGATAAGCTGGAGAAGGTAGACGGCAGAGTTGAGCAGAGATGGAGCAAATTCAGCCTCGAGATCAACATCCTCAGAGCGACTATAAAATGTTAGCTATCATATCAGCTCATGAAGGATAGAGTGTTAACTTACGGAGCAAGTCTATCGCAGAGTCGGGCGATGTAGATCAGAGTGACGATGTGAACAGCAAACTGTCCCAGAATAGAGCCGATGATGTAAACGTTGAAGATGTTGGGCTGAGGACGTTCCTTGCTAAGACCCTCGACGACACGAGCGCGAGAAATGCTGAGGAAGCAAACCGACATAAGCATACCACTGATGGTGTACTGTGTGTCACCAAACTTGATACCCTCAAGATACAAGACGGACAAGGAGTAGGCGGTAATAAGACAGTTGAGAGCGAGAATCTTGTACATCTGGATAGTGGCGACAAGAGTGCAACGACCCTGGCGGATGATGTTGGGGACAGCAACGACGTTTCGGAGTTTGGATGTGAAAGGGGCAGCAACTGAGGCATCGCCGAGCTTGAGAGTAGGGGGCTCGTCATCTCCCAATTCAGCCTCCATCATACCAGACGCAAGCTTGTCAGCGAAACCGGCGGCCTTCTTAGCAGCCTCGCCTTGACGGTTAGCGTGAGGACCAGCATCCATAAGAGCCTGAGCGCCAGGAGATGTGATGGTTTCGAAATCGAAGCCTTGCGACTTGGCGTATTCCTCGGGGGTAACGTTCTTCTTCTGAGCTTCACGCTCGATAGCCTTCTGAAATTGAGGGTTCTGAGGTCCAGGGGGGTAAAGGTGGGCAATCATAGCAGGGACAGGAGGATTGGGTTGGTTGAAACGCTTCATGAGATCACACTGCTTCTGATACATCTCCTTCATCTTGGTGTTCCGGGAATGTTCGGCAATACGAGTGAGATCTTCGGGGGTTCCATTCAACAGAGCAATACCAATGTGAGCCTGCTTCAAAGCACCAACATCGTTGGTACCGTCACCAGCCATCAGAGTGTAGTAACCCATATCCTTGAGACCAAGGAGAATATCCTCCTTTTGCTTGGGGGAAACACGAGCGTAGACCCAGGTATGACGCAGAATCTCATTCCAGGCAACTTGTCCCTTGAACTTGGCAAGAGCGTAACCGGTAACACAGATATCCTTGGAGCGAATGATCTCAGGGTCAATGGGCTCGGTGGGGTCGACCTTGATGCTGACCTTATCATCAACACTCTTCCAGACGAGCTTGTCACCGTTGGAGTTATCTTCGGGGGCATCAAGGATGAGGACGTCACGGTCGACGATTTCAACCTCACGAGCGACATGGACGGCGGTAAGGGGGTTGTCTCCAGTAATCATGACCACGCGATGACTGCTTTCATTCAACATCTGGACAGCCTCCTTGGCGTCATCCTTGAGAGGGCAGTGCAAAACGAGGAAACCGGCGAATGTCAAGTCAGACTCAACCTTCTCTCGCTTCAGATCATTGATCTTTCCAGAACCAAGTTCAGTGTCGATGGTAAGCTGCTTGTAAGCGAGAGCCAAAACACGAGAACCCTTGCGAGTGAAGTACTTGTAAGTCTCTTCGTAGTCATCGGGGATAACCTTGAGCATCTTCTGGATGGTCTCGGGCGCACCCTTGACACCAGCGAAAGTACCCTTGATCTTGTGACCGGTCTTGATATCGTTTCCGTGAACCATAGCAACAGAACTTTGGCGCTTGAGAGCAGAAGAGAATTGGAATCGACGCTTGATCTGAACGGTACCGTGTGTGCTGCCAGCCTTGTTGGTGCTCATAAGGGTATCATTGCGACCAAGAGTCCAGCCAAGAGAGGTTAGAGTAGCCTTCTCCATGGGGTCACCAACGATGTCTCCCTCGTCAAGCTTCACAAGGGCGTGAGCGGTGGCAAGAACCAACTTAGTCTCAAGAGAAGCCTCTGTGACAGCAGTCATGG